TACACTACAACTAAGTTAGGGACATGAAAATTAAACTAATTAAACTAAGGAAGATGCACAATCTATCAAGAAATGAGCATAAACCATCAAACAAATCACAAGAGCATTCCATTAAAGCACCATGCCTTGACAATCACTAGATTCATAACTTCAACACACATAAACATGCATCAATATCACAAAATCTAGAGATAAACACATGAACATCTATTCTAGCATACATAGACATATGAATAGAATGAAATAATCAACTGGAAGTATTAAACCACACAAATCATTGTAGAAACAAGATTTATATATAAATCAAATGTCAAGACAAGAATTACAATACAAATCCCCTCAAAATACAAAACATCAAAGTCTAGGAGGCATGCTTAGGGCTATCTCTAGCCCCAAAAGAATAGTTTAGCCACTCATTGATGTAGTCATCCAACCCTCAAAGACTATCTCCATGGTAGGAATGATCTTCTTCTCTTTGATGAAAACCCTAGATGAGTGGAAGAACTCCCAAATGGTGTATGTCTCTCTAATCTCTAGACTCCTCCTACCTCTCTTGTGTTTGGTTCCTTTCTCTATATGATTGTCTATGTGTAAAATGGCTCAAAATCCTTATATAGGTAACTCAAGTGTCACACCCAATGGTCAAACCTCGTGCACTAGGACCTCCAAATGATTGCACCACGAGCACACCTTTTAATTGGCTGGAACTCTGTTTTTCTCCCACTTGAAGAGGTTCGATCGATCACAAGGATGGTCAGATTGATTCAACCATGGCGGTGCCTTTTTGGAATAAGACAAATCTAAGATATTTTTAGGATATTTTAGGAAAAAGACAAAAGTGGTAGGTGGGGATAAGATCAAAGAAGTCCGATCGATCGAAGAAATATTTGATCGATCGAAGATGGGAATTTCCTGAGGATAAGGACAAGAGGCTCGATCCATCTTGAAATGGTTGGAACGATCACTGTGAGATCGATCTGAGCTTGGTCTGATCGATCGAAGATTCCTGTTTTCCATCACTTTGCTTCCACTTTGCTCCTTTCTTCTACTAAGCTTGAAATTGCATCTTTTATGCTCTAATTCAGCTGGAATAACTTATTTTGGCGATAAGTGCCTAAAAAGGAAAATAACATGAAATTAGAGTAAAACGGGAAAATAAGATAGGATAAAATCCTAGAATACCCAAGCTTAACGGGTTTAAATGCACATTTTTCAGCACTCATCAAGCTCCGAAAGTATCTTACCTTTTATTTGCTGACGATAGTCGGCAGGAGGTTTAATATCTTATGGAAAGTTTAAAAAAAATGAGATTGAACCCAATTGCTGATGTGGACATGAAGTTTCACTATTCAATATAATTTGTTGCCTAAAATAACCTTTACTTTTGAACCAAATCACCTTACTATCCCCTAACCATTTCACCCCCAAAACATACCCATCCCAAACATACCCTCCACCATTCTTTGCCCCACCTGACTTCGTCTTCTCCTTCACCACCGCTAAATTCAGTGCCACCAAACGCGCGCCACCGCGTCCCTCCACCTCTCTCCTCCTCTACCACAACCTCACCGAGATCCCTAACCTTGGCGAATTGGTCAGGTTCTACAGAACTACTGCGTCTTTGTTTTCAAGAACGGTAATGGAGAACTGACCTTCGCCGTGACTAGGGATGGCAACAGGGGCAGGTTTGGGCGGGTGTACCCTCCCCTGGCCTCGTAACTGTTTTAAAATCCCGCCCCTGTCCCCTCCCAAAACCGTAAAAAGGGGAAAACTTTCCACCCTATCCCAATAACCGCTACCCCAACAAGTACCCGCCCCGCCTCATTTAAGACCATAATTTATTTATTATTGAAATAGATTTGCTCTTTTTTTTTTTTCTCCTCATCTTCAATTTTTCACCATTACAACTTTTCTTTTAATCAAATTCATTTGTTACTTTAATATTGTTATATGGGGTACTTAATATATAGTGGTAAATGTATATATACTAATGAAATAAGGGTACTTATGTAATTTGCTTATTTAAAACGGGGCGGAGCGGTGCGGGGTGACCTTCCCCCACCCCCGCACCAAACCCGTACGGGTTTTTATTATATTAAACCGTCCCTGCCCAAATAAGCAAGGCGGTCCCCCAAAACGGCCAAAAATGAGGCGGGGCAGGGCTGGTAACTGCGAGGGCAGATCAAATTGCCATCTCTAGTCGTGACCAAGAAGTCGATCACCGTCGTGAAAAATCTACCGGATTTGTATGTGGACAATCGTCTCACCGTCCATGGCGTCGACGACATAATGGACCCCGCCTTTGCATCCAAGTGCACAATTCTAGATCTGACGGTTGAGGTCAAATCTGAGGTGGACCGATCGTTTATTGATCATGCGGTAAAGGTCTTGAGGAGGAGAGGGTTTGGTGTGGTTGCGACGGCAATGGAGATGAGGTGGTCCGATCTGTTGAGTTTGACGACGGTGACGGTTTTGGCCCCCTCCGACGCGCGTCTCTTCTCGGAATTTGATGGCTTTCGGTTCGATTTCCGTCACCACGTCATCGCGAAATGGCTTGATTCTTCGGATCTTGGGACATTTTCTGTCGGAATAGAGATCAAGACTGTAGCTCTGAACAGGTATCCGTGTGGTTGTGAAGGAGACAAGGGTTGTTTGGCTACTGGAATTGTGTAGCCCAAACCAGTTTTACTTAAACCAAACTTATGTGAGTGAATAAAAAAATGGGGGCAATAAGGTAATTTGGTTCAAAATGAATAGTAAAATTCCATGTCCACATCAGCAAATGGGTCAACTTCATTTTTATGAAACTTTCAGACTTTGACTTCATTATATGGTGAATATGGGTCCATAAAGCCATTTATGTGTAAAAATCCCTTATGGATAATCTTACCAATTATAAGTTAGCTTCAGGTCAAGCAATTAACATGGCTATTTTTAATTATAGCAAAAACACTCCTTGAGAAGTTAGAGTTGATTTATGCAGACTATTTACCTATTGAAGATGTAGGGATGAATGGTATATATTTGGGATTTCCACCGTAATAGGCAGAAATAAAACGAAAGCAAGTCTTCCAATTTATTAAGGAGAAGTTAGAGAGCAAAGTGAAAGGGTGGAAGAACAACATTTTGTCCACTGCTGACCGAGAAGTGCTTATAAAGAATTGTCTAGAGGCCATTCCGGCGTATTCAATGGCTGTTTCAAGTTGACAAAGGAGCTATATAATTAGTATTTTCTCCACTCTTCTTTTTTGAAAGCCAATCTAGGCTATAAACTCTTTTGGGCATGGCTATGTTTCATAGCTGCTAGAGAGATTATTGAGAATGGAGTTACAACGAAGTATGGTGGTTGTTTTTGAAGTGGATGCATAGGTTGTTGCTAAAGCAGTGAATGATAAGCACGCAATATTGAAGACATTCGGAATTGGATGAAAGTTAATGGTGACTTCTCGGTTATCTCCATGCCCCGTAAGGCTAATGGTGTTGCACATCATCTAGCAAGATGGGTTCTTGCGAGTAAATTAGAGAAGTTTTACATTTTTAAGATTCCAAGATGTATTCAAGGTGGTATAGCAGCTGATTCTCTTTACTGCTTTTGATGAATTTGGTTTTCGACGATTCTTGAAATGAGAATTCTTGCCTATTAAAAAAAGAAAAAGAAAACTAAAGGGTAAATGATACAACTTCTAATCAAAATTTATATAACTGGCATAACGTAATATAAATCTAAAAATTTATGAAATTTTCTTATACTGGATCTTTGATTTGCGTTCGAGAAACTCTTATGCAGTTCAAAAGTCTGTCCAAGTCCCACCCTAAGTGTACCTTGCTTATGTGTGTGTTTTAGTGCTTTCCATACCTTAAGCAATGGGGCTGGCTTCCTTGTTCCCAATTTGATCGGTTTTAGTTTTCCCCCTGGTGCTTGCCATATTACTTGTAATTTACTTTTGTATTGTTCTAAATGAAATTATGTTTATCCTCATAAAAAAATAAAAATAAAAACACATATGTACAAGAAGTTATTATCAGGACCGTTCAATCTCATTTATTATATAAGATATGACTCAAATTCTCTCCAATAAAAAGAGATATTTGAGCATTGAATCAGCATAGTTATCACAGTTTCAGATCATCAAAAGTTATTTATCTAGTAAAATATTTGATCAATGATCGACATTTTTCCTTTATAAGAGATGACTCATTGTGAATGAGATGGATCCATAAATGTTGATCTCACAAAAATTATTTTTCTTGGGAGCATATATGAATTGATTATAATGGATGTACCATACAATTAACCTATAGGAATACTTTATTCAAACAAAATAATTTTATTTTTATTTTTAAAAATAGACCATAAATTTATGAATATTTATAGAAAAATTTATTTAATTTTTTATATTTAAATGGAATTGGTATTATGGGACACCAAATAAAAGGAAACATACTAAAATATTGTCTCGTGTTTGTTTTCAAACCTCACATGGATAAGACCATATGAAGACGTGTACGTTCGAAAATGAATATTCACATTCCTCCTTATAAAATGCGATACATAGTATCATTTTCTTCCTGGACCCCACAGTCCCCGTTGCAATTTGAAATCTCTCCCTCTCTCCAAAGAGACGTTATAACCTTTTTAACCTTTTCTGCAACAACAATAATTTTTTTTCCACGTCATTTTTTAAAAAAACACTTTTTTTTTTTAAAATTTCACTCTCTCTCTCTCTCTCCATTTAATGTGCTTGAACTACGCAACCACTCACAGTCACACACACACTCATGCGCTAAACACAAGAAAGAGCTTAATCTCTTCTCAGTCTCTCAATCGAAATTTCCCATTCTCAGTCTCTCTTTCTCTCTCTTGAATTGGATGCAATTCTTCACTTCTTCTCTCTGCACATCCCTGTGTAGCCCTACGTCCCCCATAGTTTTGCCGCATTGAGAGGAGAGAGAATATCCAGAGACTTTTTTGCGGATCTTGCTTCATCGTTCGTGTAAGTAATCACTGATTTAAGTTCTATTTTCTGAATTTTTGACTGAAAATGAAGATTGGGTTTTTTGTTTTGGACACCGTGATATTTGGTTATGAGTTGATGTTATGTTTCTTTTAAAGTCAACTAGTCATATGAAGCCAATTTTCCTTGATTTGGATTAGTTTGGTTGCTGAGAAACTGTAGGAAAATACACTGAACTAAAAAAAAAATTGAATCTTGGGGTTTCTTGTTTTGTTATCATTAATAATTATATGGAAATCTTACCAACTGTGCATAGTACAACAATGTAGCTCTTTTAGCTGGTCATTCCATTTTCTTTTTTTGGAACTGAAGCATCATGAAATCAACGACAAACAATTTGATTTTATTCTCAGTTCCTCAATTTTCTCAGCAATCACAGCTGGGGTTGGGATTTTTTTTTCAGCTGATTGAACTTCTAATGACTGAAAAAATGTGTGGTCAAATGATCTTGGTCTTAGTAGTGATTGGGGTTTTGAAAATTGGAAATCAAATACAGGGCAGACCAATTCAAATCTAGGGTGTATATGTTTTGATTTTATTGGTATATAACTTGTAGGTGTGCTTGTCAAATCTTTGCCCTATTTAGATAGATAAAGAACTTCAAAAATAGAAGCAGAAAAATAAGAATTGGATTTAAGAGAACAAGGATATTGAGAAGTAAAATAGATGGATATAATTGAATCTCACCACCATGTTGTTAAATCTCCATTCTTACTTGTAGCTTGCTCATTTGGAATTTGTATCTTGTACATTATTTAATTTCCAATTGTGTAAAAGTGTTGTGAGCTGGATAAACGTTTAATGTATTTTAAGGACAACTAACTTAGTAATGGTGACTGATGTTTATGTAGCATTGCGGATGTATAGAACTTAGAAATTATAATGCAATTTTCCCTCCTTGATAGATAAACTGCAAATTCACAAATACTGCTCAGTATGGTATTGGAGTTGTATTCCTCAATCTTTAAACCTTGATCGACTTCTTTCTATGATGGATAAAATGAAGGGCTATCCCAGTGCATGAGGCTCCCGCCATTGCACGTCTGGGGAGGGGCCAACTGTATGCAGCCTTACCTCCAATGTGGAGAGGTTGTTCCTGTTTCTAACCCGTGATCTCCGGTCATAATGTAGCAACCTTACCACTGCACCAAGGGCTGCCCTCTTTTATGATGGATAAACCTATGCTAAAATTTAAGGTTCATTCACAAAGTAAGTGGAAAAGCATTGATAATTTAGTTCAAGCAGTTCGCATTTGAGAAATACAATATAGTTGAAGCATTTAGTCACTCTACTATTTGATTTAGTTGCAGATGTATTGTGATTGACTGAATAATAGAACTTAAGAAATTATAATGCAATTTTCCCTCCTTGATAGATAAACTGCAAATTTACAAATACTGCTCAGTATGGTATTGGAGTTGTATTCCTCAATCATTAAACCTTTTTTTTTTTTGATAAGTATTCCTCAATATTGGAGTTGTATTCCTCAATCATTAAACCTTTTTTTTTTTTTTGATAAGTATTCCTCAATCATTAAACCTTGATCGACTTTTTTCTATGATGGATAAAATAAAGGACTATCCTAGTGCATGAGGCTCCTGCCATTGCAGGCCTGTTTCTAATCCGTGATCTCCGGGTCATAATGTAGCAACCTTACCATTGCACCAAGGGCCGCCCTCTTTATGATGGATAAACCTATGCTAAAATTTAAAGTTCATTCACAAAGTAAGTGGAAAAGCATTAATAATTTAAATATTAGTTCAAGGAGTTGGCATTTGAGAAATACAATATAGTTGAAGCATCAAGTCACTCTAGTATATGATTTAGTTGCAGATGTATTGTGATTGATGGAATAATGTTCATCTTCACTCTTGTTCCTTCCATTCATGAAAATTGAAGTTTGCCTTGTTTCTACGTGACAATATGGGGGTTGAGAAACAAGGTTCCAAGAGTGGAGTTGGTGGCTTCTTCCAGTTGTTTGATTGGAATGCAAAATCCCGAAAGAAGTTGTTCTCAAGCAAGACTGATTTACCAGGTACAATTGAACTCCATGTACATTGATTTTTTTATTATATAATAATCATAAGTACATATGAGCACAAGATACAAGTTTGTTTAATATTTTCTATGTTTTCCATTTTTTCTTGTAGAGCAATCGAAGCAGAAAAAGAGAACTGATGGGAATTTTCCAACTACACGACTTCATCTGGTAGAATTTTGATGATCCAATATATCTATATTGTTTATCTTACAACTTTTTAGCATGTGTTGATTGAATGCTAAGCCACTTTTTTTAACTTCTGTCATGTCCGCAGATGGATGAGGATGAAATTGTAGCACGATCAAGTATCAAAGGGAGTAGTGACTATAGTTGTGCTTCATCAGTAACTGATGAGGAAGGTTGTGGAAATAGGGGCCCAGGGGTAGTTGCCAGGCTTATGGGATTGGATTCCCTGCCAATGTCCAATTTTGTGGAGCCTTACTCTAGCCCATTTTTTGACTCCCAATCTCTTCGAGATGCTCACTTTCACAGGAGAAATCTAGATTTTCAACATGATAATCAAATAATGCATTCTAGCATTCTGCGCAATAATGTGGAGGCCCCTTTTAGGGATGCCATGGACCCAAAGCCGCCTCAGAAGATGATAAACAGGCCAATTGAGAAGTTCCAAACTGAAATATTGCCCCCGAAATCTGCTAAATCAGTTCCAGTTACGCACCACAAGCTTTTGTCTCCTATCAAAAGCTCTGGTTTCATTCCATCTAAGAATGCAGCTCAAATAATGGAAGCAGCTGCTAAAATTATTGAGCCGGGACCTCACGCTACCACCAAGGCCAAAAGGCCTTTGGTTAGTTCTTCAGTTCCCTTGAAAGTTAGAGATTTTAAAGAGAAAGTGGAAGCTGCTCAGAAATTATCCAGGCTTGCTGAAACTTCTCGGAGGCCAATTGAGTCCAATGCTGCTAAGTATCTTAAGGGACAATCCATGAATAACAGCTGGAATGGATCAGTGGGTACAACATCATCCAAGGGTTCTTCTTATTCAGAAAACTGTAATACTGGTCTAAACAATAAGGGAAAATCCATTTCCCTTGCTCTCCAAGCGAAAGTCAATGTTCAGAAAAGAGAAAGCTTAAACGCAAGTCGCAGCGGAAGTTTGTTTGGCGAGAAAGAACAGAGTGAGATCATGTCAAGCCAGCCGTTTAAGAGCCAACCAAATATCCAAAAAAGTGCACATAAGAAACCTTCTACACATGTTGCATCCACTGTGCTCAAGCAGAACAATCAGAAACAAAATTGCATGATGGATAGAGAAAAGTTGCCTTCAAAACCCATGGTTTCTAGTTCACGAAGTAGAAAATCACCGTCCGGGGATTCTTCTGTTGGTCGGCATAAAAGTTCCAGTAAAATTCTGGGTAACTCGAAAGTTGGTTCCAGGTTGGGTTCAATAGCAGCAGATTATAAAAAAGAGGTCCCATATTCTGGTACGAAAAATGTCAGTCGGAAGAAACGGTCTATAGATGGGAATTTTCACTTTGAGAAAAATCAGGAGGTTGATAACATGTTGATTTGTAAAAATGGGAAGCCAAATGAATCTAATTCATTGATAGATGGACACTTTAGTTGGGCTGAAGATAGCAACCGTAAAGGCATGGATGTTGTTTCTTTTACATTCACAGCTCCAATGACAAGATTGACACCTGGTTTTGAGACCTCTAGACAGGTGAAAGAGAAAAACGATGGCTTTAGTGCTGATTATCGAGGTGAAAAGGTGCTGCACAACTCAGATAGTACAAACAGAACAAAGTTATCACTAGGAGGTGATGCTTTAAGCATTCTTTTGGAGCAAAAGCTGAGGGAATTAACTCATGCAGTTGAATCTTCCAGCTCCAAAGCTGAAACGGCTGGTAGTTCTTCTTCAATTTTTCAGGATATGGTACCTGCTTTTAAAGCAGTAAATTCAACATCAATGTTGTATGATGAAAGGAGCCAAGAAGGGATGCATGCAGATAAATTGGGTTGCCAATATGGGCCTGACTTTTTTTCAACTGCTCCTCAGAGACTCATAACCAAAAATAAGCTCCAGGTAAATCTTATTCACTTTTGCTCATCATTCTCATTCCCTTAAAGTTTGATCTCTATCCAAGCTCTTTTTCCCCTCTTAAATGTCACTGAATTTTGGCTGCTCATCTGTGTTATTTAAAAATGGCTACTCTGTCAGATAATTCAATTAGTCCACTTTCCATGACACTGCCTTTAATCTATTAAGTATTTTCATTTTCTTGGTCCTTTTATTATATTCTTTTTCTTTTCTTTTTTTCTTTCTTCTCTTTTTGTATGGAAAACATTTCAATCCCTAGTATATGTCATGTTGAAATTAACAGGGGTTCAAATATTCAATTTTTGATTATCAAACAGAATTGACTCGACTGTTTTCCCTACTTCTAAACATACAACCTCTTGTTATTAGTAGAATTTTCATGTCAGTTATGGTTAATTCTAATTCTTTTGATATTTATGAAAAGCTAAAGCAAGTCCTTCTTCCAACCTAAAATTGGGTATTAAATAGGACATTTTTGACATAGCAGCGACAGTTCTACAGCTTAGGAGAACCATTCATAGTAACTTTTAACTTGCAGAGTTATAATTAATCATCAAAATGCTCCTTTGTGAACTCTTACGGTTGAAAATGGTTCGGTTTACTACACTTAGGAAAGTAGGGGTTTCCTAAATTAAATGCAGAAATGCATTTTATTGTAAAGTAAAACCAGTTCTTTGCTACTTTTATTTTAAAATAGGTGCTTTACTTTGTGGTATATTGATAATTTATTCATGCTGCAAAATTTTCAGGGAATGGAAGAAATGGATGAGTGTAGCAGTAATTATGCTGAATCTAGAAAGTTACTTGACTATCGACATCCTAGTCCAATCTCTGTTCTTGAACCTTCTTCCTTGTCAGAAAGTTGCAACTCCACAGATAGCACAGACAGTAACAGCACAGAAGGTAAAATGCAGCACTTTTCTTCCATGAAGATATTATCATTTAATCATAGGAATACTGAAACATTTATTACTTCATTCCAGGTATCAAGCAGTGTTCATCTGTTCAAGCTCAGGAAGTGCTTGGTATGGGTTCTTCAAAGAAGATATATTTGGTGGAAGCTGATGCAGAGTTATCAGATTCCGCTTCTTCCAGATCTGGCAGAGCTGTGGCTAGAATGCATATAACTACTACTTTATCTGTGACAGATTCTGTTGGATCAACCAGTTGGGAACTAAAATATGTGAAGGAGATACTGTGTAATGTGGAGTTGATGTTCAAGGATTTTGCATTGGGTCGAACCTCTGAGATCATAAATCCTCATCTATTTGATCAGCTGGAGACTCGAAAAGGAGTGTCGGAAAGTCATGGAGATAAGCCTAAGCTAAAGCCAAAGCTTTTATTTGATTGTGTGAGTGAATGCATAGACTTAAGATGCAGAAGGTATGCTGATGGGGGATGCAGAACATGGGCAAAAGGGCTGTCGGTGGTGAGAAGAAAGGAGCGGCTAGCAGAAGAAATATACAAGGAGATTTCAGGGTGGAGTGACATGGCAGACTTTATGGTAGATGAGCTCGCAGACAAAGACATGAGCACCCAATATGGGAAATGGCTCGACTTTGAAGTCGAAGAATTCGAACTGGGAGTAGAGATTGAGAAACGGATTCTTAATTCTTTGGTTGATGAAATGATTGCTGATCTCTTACCCCTTTAATTCCTTGAGCATAATTTTTTCTGTAAGTTAGTATCCACATCCGTTTGCTCCTCCGGAAAATGTATTTTTTGGATATATAATTTTATTTTTTTCCAATTGTTGCTTAATGTAGTTCCTTCTTTGTGATTATTTAAAGAATTTGTTGAAATCATAAACAGTGAAATGCAATGAATGAGGAGCCATCTTTTGGATGTCAATACCTTTTTGTTTGTCTTTTGACCTTTAAAATAACCTGGCAACAAATAACAATGATAATATGTCATAATGACTGGTTTTGAAATCTAAATTAGAATGTTCTTTTGATTCGTGAGTGTGTATTGTGGGAATGATATTTCTTATTACTGGATATACAAAATTTCAAACATTGCTGCAAATTCAATCGCACTTCTAAATTTTGAGCAATCAAGAGAGTTGGGCTTCAACAACCTTGTCTATTACAGTTGCTTTTATCTTGCCTTCCAAACATGGTGTTACTCTCTCTCTCCCTCTCTCACTCCCTCTCTCTCTCTCTCTCACACTCACACACACATACATATTTATTTATATTGAGCTGTGTCGTTTTATTAGTTCCATACTTGCAGTCACATTATGCCCATCCATGTGGAACAAAAAAGGGCAAGACTCATTTTATTGTTCAAAGAAAGCTCCCTAACTCATTTATATCACCAATTCTCATCAGCTCCATCATTCACTTGCTTTCCTCCTTGTTTTGTTGATGACTTATGAGCTTGTTATTTTTGTTGAACAAAAATAGGTCTCATTAATGGCCAGTGGCCTAACAGTATCAGTCTCTTACTTCAAGGGTTCAAGTCTCAGAAGAGCCATGTGTGCATGAATACTAACTAAAGAAAAAAAATAAAATAGGTGTCACCGCACTACCCTAGAGTCTATAACTTTCAGTAGCACCAGGCAAGATGGTCAGGGCCTTGCTCATCAATTCAGACAATTTCATTCCTGCATGGTGCCTCAATTCCTTAAAAGTGCATTGATGTTGCATTTGGGAGTATGGAATTGGAACGTTGAACTTTGAATTGGCGAAAATTTAGTTAATCTCTCCAATTCTAAATTCGAACCGCCAATTCGGCACTCCCAAACAAAGCATGAGTTTTTTCAACTCATGATGATGTTGGAAATATGAATTGAGGTTGTGCTGGCGGATCCAGTGTAAGTTCCCCCATACAAGAAAGGAACAGATGTAATCTTCAATATTACTTTACATAAAGTAGTCATCTTTAATATCATGTTCTCTCGAGACTTGGAATTTATGTCCTCATCGCACCGAACAGGATAATGTTTCATCCTGCCTAATCTTAACATTGCAACGTTGCATTTCGTTTCATGATGGAGCTGGAGAAAAGGAAAGAGGTTAAAGATGGAAAGGTAATGTAATGTTTGGTTTAAAAATAATAATGAGGAGGGATGAAAGGAAAAGGAAGGAAGGATTTGCTTAACCCTTGAATAGAATCTTGAGTTAATTATATGATTACTTTTTAAAATTTATATGAACAGGGAATGATCATCATCATCATGATGATGTTATCCTACTTAAATAAAAGTCTGACTATTTATTATTATTTTTTGTCTGAATTTTAGTAAATTAAATTTTTACAGGACTATTTATTATTATTTTTTGTCTTAATTTTAGTAAATTAAATTTTTACTGGCTTAGAAAATCTGATATGGTTGACTCTCCAATAACTATTTACTTTTAATAAATGGAGAGTCACATTCACTTAAAATGTCCAGCCCAGACACACGCACGGACACACACGCGCGCGCGGAAAGAGAGATGAAAAAAAATAATAATTTAAGGCCTTTGTCTCACCACACTTACTGTCTAGAGGGTCTTGTTCCATATTAGATCAAAATGAAATAGTGATTGAGTATACATGAGTTAGGTGTTAGCACCACCTACTAATTGTCTAACTTGGAGGGTGCTCGAGATTTCACTTACCTAGATAAGCAAAGTCTTAAGCTTTTGGGTCAGACCGTGAAGCAACTGACGTGTTACATTACCACTTGCCATGTAGCGAGCCCATACCAACTCCTTGCATTTGGCTTGATAAATAACTTGTACTTGAAGAAAATGAAAATGGAAAAGGAGACAACCATTCCATTCTCAAGAAAAAATAAAAAAAAAAAAAGAAAAAGAAAAATTACCTTCCCTAAAATCCCTCAAGTAAAGCTACCGACGCCACCATTGCCACAACCTTCCACCTCCACCACCACACCGCCGCCGTCACCATCGCTTTCCACCACTACCACATTCGCCACCGCCACTGCCTTCCACCTACACCACTATCTTCTTCTTCTTTTTTTTTTTTTTTTTTTTTTTTGCCTCCACTGAGGTTTGAACTCCTAATCTCCCTTTGGAAAGTAGGAACCTTGTACCGCTAGGCCACAGTCCTGTTGGTTACACCACTATCTGTCTTCCACCACCACTGCTACCCCTCACCACCATTGCCTTCCACCACCACCATTTACACCACCGCCACTGCATTCCCCCACCACTTACACCACAACCACCTTCTATCACGGCGATATGGTATAACGTTATTTTGTTAGTTTAATTTATTTATCACTTAGAGGGTATTTTGGAGAATTCAATTTAAAATTCATTCTATTCTAGATTTTAAGTTGGTCCAACCAAACAATAGAATAGTGATAATCATTCTATTCCTACATCATTTCATATTTGCAACCAAATGAGAATTACCAATCAATTTCAATCTTATTTTTATTCTCATTCCATTCATACTTGTATTCAATTCTATTCCCACATACTAAATGTAGTCGTAAAATGATTTTTTTCCTTAAAGAATCTAGTAAATAAAACACGTACATAAATGCACATAGCTATGATTTATAATGTCAACCCTAATTTGAGAAGCCTCCTTAAAACCCTAATACAATTTACAAGGTTGTCCAAACTTTTAAAAGACCATATTGGATTCGAATTGAGCCGCCCACAAATGCTTGATGAGAACTTGCCATCTAGGGATGTCAACGGGATGGGTTAAGGACGGGGCACCCCTTTCCCAAACTCGTTTCACTAATGAAAATATTGTTCCAAATCCGGTTTGGGGCATCCCACATCGGAATCTGGTTGGGTTCGAGGCTCCCCAATATACATATTTTTTACTAAAAATAATTTAAACTTGAATAAAATTATGAAAAAATTTGTATTTTTTTTAGACTCGTAAGCATTTAATACCCTTGTAGTATGCATATATCTCATATAATCCCCCCTATAGGTTCTGAAAAACCCTTAACATTTATTGTAGAAGTAATTAAGAACCTCCCGTCAATTGGCCATTAATGTGATGATAAAAATACTAAAATGCCCTTCCTACAATAAAATAAATAAATAAATAAAAATTCAATTAATGTAAAATTACTATTATATCCTTTATTTTTGAGATTTATACACAAAAGGGAAAGGCGTTTTGGGAATCTATAAAGGGTAATTTTGGTATTTATTAAATTTAATCAGTTATATGTCAGGCACATGTTTTTTAACGGTGCATTTTTAACGCCGAAAAGTCATTCATTACAACATTTTTAAATTCTTGAGGGAGTTTTATGCTATTATTTGCTCAAAAAGTAAATCTTAGGAGTGTTTTTGTAATGCCCCGGATTTTTCTGGATTTTTATTGTAATTATTTTTTGTGCATTGTTTTGCATGCCACGCGGGCCCCAAGAGCTGTTTAGGTCATTTTCTTGAGCCGAGGGTTTTGGAGATTTATTTTTATTTATTTTAAACCAATTTGAGGTGATGGGATTATTTTTAGAATTTTTCGGAAGTTGAGACGATTTCCGGGTTCGTGAACTACTCCCAATTTTCTCATTTTTGTGAGGGGCATTGTAGACATTTCACACGCTTTTACATATATATGTATTTATGTATTAGAGGAGATACTTTGCGGGACATGGATGGAGTATGGTTTGTTAAGTGAGGGCAATAAGGTAACTTAAACAAAAGGTGAAACCACCTACAAGTTGACAAGTGGCATGATTAGGATCACACCTTCAATTGCAAGACCAAGCTACCCCATTTCCTTTCTCATTTTCGAGCAAGGCCCTTTCTCTCTCTATATCTACATACTCATATATACATATTGCTTCAAGCTTGAATTTGGAGAGGTTAGGATGAGATTTTGCTAAAACTATAGAAGAGAAAGTTGATGTGCTTGGCAATTGCTACAATTTGAGACCACCATTGCTAGGGTTTGGAGGGATTTCGAGATTGGGGGTTAGCTAAGGCCTTGTTTGGCTTACTCCATTGAGGTGGGGGTTGTTTAATGTTTCAAACTTTTCCTTTGTTTGAGTATTTTTATATAATTTCTCCTAAAACTCATTATTGAATGACAAGTAAGTGATTAAGCTGATAGTTGTGTGACAAGGTGTACTAAACATGCTATATGTGATGAAAAATGTGTACTTCATGCCAATTGAGCTTGTATTGCTTGCTACTTACATGTAAATGTGATGACTGTATGAGAAAATGGCATGATTGTGATGATATGAAACCTATGATGAGCATGCTTGAAATTGATGTATCAACAATGCTATACTTGTGTTTATTTTATAGTGAATGTTATGTTTATGCCAAAACTGTCATATAATTGAAATTGGGATTCAAGTTGACACAATTGAATCATATGCGTGGCATGGTGGGGAATTTGAGTTAGAAGGACATTTGGGACATTTTAGAATGGTGAGAAAGTTGAATAAGATTGAAAAGTGAGCCATCTTAGAATAGGCGAAAAAGAGGAATTTAGAATTGAACCGGTGATGAGCGCTGAATATTGTATATTCGAGCCCCTAAATATACTTATGTTGAGGCCTAAAGTAATACTTCTATCCATAGTTAGACTGATTTATGTTCAATGTGTGTTTGTAGGTACTTTCCCAAAGAAATGGTTAAAACCGGGACTTTATGATGATATCGAAGCTTATAGAGTCGTTGTCGGTCATCCAAAGCAAGTCGAGAGCTTAAATGGTGAAGTTTGGAAGAATGCAGAATGCAAAGCTCGAGCCCAAGTCTTGAGACTTGAGCTTTACAAGTCAAAGAAGACAAAAATCAACAAGGCGTTAAAGCTCGAGCCTTGTACCTTCAGGCTCGAGCCTGAACAAAGGGTGCTTGAGCCTGATCATAGGGTGCTCGAGCCTTAACCCTTAAGCTTGAGCACAAGGC